TTGGAATGACTGCACTCTCAAAGAGATTATGTGGCTGCACAAAAGTCTCGGGTAAGAAATAGAGTGTGGCGGCTTGTCCACCTTGTTAAGGGTCTTCCACTTTGGCAAAATTATCCAAATATAATTTTAGAATGTAAATAAGCAAAATATAATATTACTTGCCAAAAATAACTTGATTTGGAACAGATTTGATAGGCCAAAAGTATTTTTCAAATATGTCTAGCTTCAAATAAGAAAAATTTTCTACTGGTACACTTCTTCAAACTGTAATAACTTTTGCTCCACACCTTGGATGGCTGCAATCTTGGTGTTTCTAGAAATCTCTTCGAAAGACTTTCAATCTGATATAAGATTTGACAATAAACAAGATAAAGATAAGTGAGATACAATTAATCGAATTTGACTTAGGAATTTCTAGGCGGCTGCAGGAATTTTCGGAAGAGCAGTACATAAGAAGTTATGGTTGAAGAGAGAGAGAACTGACTAGACAAGTCAGTATTTAATTATGATTGATTTGAAACAATCTTTACACCGTAGTATAAATAGACATACACATCAGTCTGACTAGATCACAACTAACACCTCCAATTAGTTATGATACACCTCAAATTTAGTTAAATCATAACCGTGTAACTACTCATGGTCATTTATAGTACATACTAAAATAGCAATAACTTTTAGATCACTAATCCAAAATTATCAATTTTGATCTCTATAGAAAGCTATCTCAATTATCTTTCACACTAGTTTCACTCGATTTGAACATCTGAGCAAAAAGATATGATATTTCAAAGTTGACTCCCGATTTTGGCTCTTTGTAGATTTCTCTCAAATTGTGGGGTTTCAAAAAAAAGAATAACTTTTGCTATAGGGCTCAGTTTAAACCGAAAACTTTGTTTGTTGGAAAGCTATTTGAATGCTGAACATACATAAACAAGATTTAGATACTTTAAAGTAATTTTTTAAATCAATAACTTCTATGCAAGAATGATAGAAAGATAAGCATGGGTAAGACAAGAACAATTAAATGAAAATTTTTAGTGTTTTTTTTATAAGAAAAAGTAAAGACAAGACAGAAAATAACATATATTCGATCTAGTGCCTCATCTTTGATACAAAATGATATGCGACAACCCAGGCGTATGGTCTACTCGAGCCTCTAGCCACTTCAATCCAATCATATAGATGGTTCAACTCAAAAAGAAAAGGTTAGATGAATTGCCTTTGCTCGAGGCTGGAAATACTCCACGAGTTTGGTAACCAACACAACAAGCATGCTCAAAGGATAAAACAATGAGATCTTAAGTTCAACCACACAAAGGAAAAGACTATTGCGAGGCAAGGGTATAGAAACCTCTCAATTTTATTTAATCAATGTCTAAAGTCTATCTTGAAACAAAGGGAAACACGCCTATTTATAGACTAAGACATTAATAATTAAAATACTCAAATTAAATCTAAAGCAAATAAAATAAAACCAAAAGTGTTGTAAGACAAAAATAAGGAAAATATCTAGTCCTTATTTGTTATGGGGTGAGTGGTAAGCAAACCATTGGCCCCAAAATGGGGGGGGGCGACATGGTAGGCGCGAGGGGTTGTGGCGTGGGCGCATCGGTAAGGCGGTATGGTGAGGGCGTTGGGCGATGCAAGGCGCATGCATAGATGGCTGGCGGGCGAGCGCATGGGCATCTGGTGGGGCGTGTATAGGGTGTGGGCGCAGGTGCCTTGTGAGGTTAACGACATGCTGGGGGCGGGCATGGGCGTTCAATGCAGGGCATGCAGCTGGTGGGTGATGGACATCGTGGATGCGTGCATGCTAGATGACGGCGTTCGTACAGGGACTGCACTGTTCTATATAAATATGCACTGTTTTTTTTTACAATCAAATATGTAGATTTATAAAAATAAAAAGGAAAATAAAGAAAATATATATGTTTGTGGAACCTTTATCGTCTAATTGTTGCATTAAATTCCAAGACTTACTTTTGTTTTCAATTTATGCGTTACGTATAGTTAATATATATACACATAATCTTTTATAAATTTTGTACTGCTTCTTTTCCTCTTTAAATCATTATTTTCCATATCCAATAGTCTTATTTCATATAAATTTTAATTTCAATTTTGTACCATCGTCGAATATTTGGAGATGGATTGTTTAAGGTACCTTCCTATTCATTTTACCTCTTATATACTATCAATTTGACTATTTGATATATTTTTTTAATATAATAGTTAGAAAGTTTAGACTAGAATATAAAATTGTCATGTTTAAACTAATTATAAAAGTTTGTACTATAATACAAAATTGTCATGTTTCAACTGCTTTATACATATAATTATTATCATTCCTATTTTATTTTATGTTTTAACATTTTATTAATATTCTTGTACATTTAATTTGGAATCTAAATGGAGAGATACTATAAAAGAAAATCAATGAAGTCATCATCTTGAAAAATAATAGTAGTTTTGATAGAAATTTTACATAAATAAATTTAGAAAAATTACAGAGAACTAGAATTGTGGATTACAATTGTAATGTTCGAAACCAAGTTTGTATGACATATTTAAAAAAAGGAAAAAAATTTCTTGAAATTACTTACCTCAAAATTATTTTTATGAATTTTTGAAATTACATACTTAGTAAATTAGCACGAAGTCCCATTCAACAAAATTCATGGATCCACCACTGACTCTTATCTTCCCTTTCACATAAGATAAATGAGGTCATTAGTTAAATCACACAAAAAATGGAGACAACCCAAAGTCTATATAAAAGTTAAGCGGATGTTAAAAGAAAGAATTGAATTTTGAGGTCTGAGACATGGTGCTTGTTGAAAGATCATTCCTATGTTTTTTTAAAAAAATTATTTTAGCT